CTTTTGTGAACTAACATGTATGTATTGAAAAACTTACCTGAGCATTTTTTTATATAGCTTTTCCACCTTGGAAGCCAATAAATGGCTGGTTTGCTTTCACTGTACCAAGCTGGATCTAGCAAGGCGAAGGCCAACACTCTTTGTTGTTTCAAAATGTTCTGTCAGTAGCTCTGTAATCACCATTTCTATTCAGTGCTGCTTCATCCCAGATCAGCAAGCTTTAAAACACACAGGTTTTTTGTTGACAGAATGTTAAAATGCAGTACTCTGCACTTTCAGATGGATTTAAAGGCACACTTGATGCTGAAGTTAAAATATGGAAAGACCTAAGCTGCTATGTTTCCACGATTTTATCTGTTGAAAAGCATACTCTCTTTTTTCTTTTTTTTTTATTTTATTTATAATGCTTTTTCCAAACCAGTTACACAACACGATTCTGGCCTCAAGCAGCTTTTGTAGCTACCAAACATCATTTCATAGAATCACAGAATCATAGAGTAGTTTGGGTTGGAAGGGGCCTTGAAGATCACCCGGTTGCAAGCCCCTCCCATGGGCAGAGACACTTTCCATCAGACCAGGCTGCTCAGAGCTCCATCCAGCCTGGCCTTGAGCACTTGACCAGCTGATTCTGTGTGTGCATGGGCCTCTGCCGGTGCCTGGGGAGGGGCTGTGGCCTTTGGGACAGCCTAGACCAGCTCTAGCAGAGCACCCTGCAAGGCAGGCAGCACCTGCATGTGTCATTCCACCACGCAGTGGCTGCACTGGGCTTTCAACTTGGGGTATCCCAAGGGATAGACAGTTCAGGCTGGAAGGCATCACCTGGCCCAACCTTCAGCTCAATACAGGCAGATCAGGATGTTCAATACTTTCCACAGCCAAGCTTCATCCCCCAAGGATGAAGATCCCACCATGTCTCTGGACACCTGCTTTAGTGCTGAACCACTCTCCATCTGAACATTTTTTTCCTTGTCAGAGTTTTTTTAGGCAAAATTTTCCTTTGCTTCTCATGGTGATTGTTGTCTCTGGTCTTTTGCTGTGCATCTCTGTCAAGAATCACCATCTTCCCTGGAATTCCTCCCCCTTAGGAACCTGAAGAAAGCATTTAGGGCTCCCAATGCCCTCAGCCCCCTCCTCTCCAGGCTGAGCAAACCTCCTGTGTCTCTTTGTACAGCAGGCTGCAGAGAGGAAAGTTTGAGTAGTTGACAGACACGTAAGTCTTGCCTCTTCTACTGAAATAGGCTGGTGCCAAGCTAGTGGCAAGGAAAGGATTGTGTGCCAGGCTATATCTTGGCAAGCCAACACATATTCACTTGCCATGGTTACTGCTCAGCTGTGTGAGCACATTTGGTGTTGGCAAAAAGCCTTTCCTGAGCCATGTTAAAAGGTACAGCACACACAGAGCCCAAGGAATGGCAATGTCATTCTGTTGGGGGGGAAATTATTCCAATACTTTGACAAGTCCCCTGATTTTGGTACATTTATCCAGCCCTGTCTCTCAGGAAATCTGGCACTATATACTATTTTATTACATCTGCCTTGGGTTTACAGGAAGGCTTTAGTGTAGTACTCATGGATGTTCCTGTCTTTACTAAACAAAACTAAGCCTAGGCTAGGATTACTTTCAGTTGTCAGCCTGAAAAGCCATTTTCTATACAAAACAGCAAACTGCCACTTTTTTTTTTCAGCATTGTATGACACAGCTGCTCTTTAAATGTAAAACTGCATAGTCAGTGAGTTACTGAGCAGCAGGAGAGATAGGACTTCCCCCATCATTAAGTAGATTTGATGCCCACATAGACCTGGAGAGCAGAGATCCCCCAAATCTCTCCTCTCCTGCAGGAGGAGGAATCTGCACCTCACTGTGTTTCAGCACTGAGAGGTTGTGGGTGTCAGTCTCTGTTGCTCTGAGTGGCTTAAAACAGAAGCCCAGCAATATTCTGTACAATATAACCCTCTCCCACATGCCTTGCAAGCACCTTAAAAACTGTCAGAGCTCCACCAACCTGAACCAAGTGCTCCGGAAACTGCCTTATTTAAGCACAAATGCTGCTCCAGAGTGGGTGCTGGGGATGGAGAAGAGGGGTCCACATCACCACACTGTCACCACAGCTTCATATATGGCCTTGGCTAAGGTGGGAGACATGGGTGAGGGAATCAATCAAGTCTTTTTTACCCATGGCAAAACCATGTTAATGTTGTCAGTGTAGTGTTCACATTTCCAAACTACTGCCCTTCTGGTCAAGGAGTCATATATTACCCAAGTTAGCAGTTCTGCCAAGAAATAACAAGGATGCCATGCATTTCAGCAGTGCTTTTCATCAGATCATTCCTACTTACTTTACAAACAGAATTAAGGAAGCCTCACAACATCCCTGTGAGGTAGGTGGAAATTCTTACACCCATTTTACAGGTGGAGAAAAAGGCACCGAGAGGTAAAGTGATTATCACAGCAAGTCAGAAGCAGAGCTGGAAATAAATCTAAGATTATTATCCTAGGTCCACTGCTCTAGACACTAGAGAACACCAACCCCCACATGCTATTGTAAGCTAAGAGACTACCTTGCTCTTCTACTTTCATCTCCTTTGGTGATTTTGACACTTGCATCTTATGCTCGTTGCAGAGAGCCATGTGATCAGTTAGGAATTTATTTGTACAGGGAGCCAAGGGGATAAACACACCTCCAAATTATCCAGGCCTGGCTCTAATTGTCCAGTGATTTCCCCCTTCCCAAGGAAATAATATTCCTCATTCATCATATATATCTTTATGTTTTGCTAAGTTATTTTTGAGAGAATTATGCACTGAATCCACGGCTCTGAGACTGTTATGCAACTTCACTAGGAATTTTTTGAATAAACTATTAAGTTTATCTCATTGAGAGGGAATAAGGCACATTTATGTGCTATCACATCCAGAAATAGCAATAATCCTTTGTTCATCTGTAGGGCTTTCCATCCAAGGACCTCCTTTTCCATAACTAGCACAACATGTCAGGCCTCACATCATCATTGTAAGGTAGGAAATTATTCCTAACTGCACAAGAAGGAAGAGTGGCTTGCTGAGAGTCCCACAGAGATTTTCTTGCAGAGATGAGGCCAAGTGCCAGAAGACTGGACTGTTCCCTGCCCCCTTTGCTGAGCAGCATTGTCCTGATGCCGTGGCCTGTGCTTGGTGGCTACAGATCCACTGCCAGCCAAGCAGAGTACTTGAAAACTGGCTTTTAAAAAAATTAATTAAAAAAAAAATTCAAGAAGCCGTTGAGTGGATGCAGGAGGAAAATTCCAGCTTCTTCTTGTGCTGTTGGGACCCGGTTCAAGAAGGGAGCATTCCTGTGGCAGCTGTGAGAGAACTACAGTGTCTGTGGAGTACAGTGCACATGGTGCATTTTACTGAGGCTCTCCAGTGGAAGGGCATAATTAACATGTGGTAATTAAAGACTGCCCTGCCTGACAGCCATGTGATGAACCATGCACTCCTGATGAACAAGCACTCATCTTTAAGTAGTCCTGTAGTCTAATGAATGTATGAATGTCAGAGATCAGGAGTGGAATTGTCAAGTAATTAGGAATCAACAGGGGTGGATGTGATGCCAGTCCAGCACCTTGGTATGTGGAAGGGTCAGATGCTCTGGTGCAGATACCTCATATAAGCTGTTAGAAGGTGGTGGTTTTTACCTGCAGGAAAGTATGTTTCCTACCCCCTTCAACAAGTGGGCTGGTTGATGCTTAGAATCATTCAAACTCTTATCTCTTTCTGTGGAAAAAATAAAACAGATCCCTGTTGGGGGTCCAGTGTCCCCTCAGATCCCATCTAGTATAAGTGTGGTGATTGTGTTGTTCATCTAAATCTTAGCCCTTTCTTTAGTTCTAGTATCTTGAACTGGGCACAGTGGACTCTTCCTGCTGAAAAACATTCTCTTCTCTCAGTTGTGATAACAGTTCTCCTGTTTCTGTATTAAGAGAGTGGATAAATGGTAGCCTCCAGGCTCTCTCTCTGCATGTGTTGCTTTGTCATATTCCTTCCCAAAACTGAGGAGGTACCTTCCAGTCTTCCTTCACAAGGAAGGATACCCAACAGCCTTTGTCTAAGGAAAAAGGTTTTGACCTCAGGCTGCAAACCTTGGGAAAATACACAGGCCCAAGAGGAGTAAAAGAGTGAATAGTGTGGAAAAAAAGAAAAAAAAAAAAAAAACGAAAAAAAAATCAGAACAATACATGGCACCTCTGTGGCACTGAAGAATCCCAATGCACCCTACAAACTTTCTACATATGTACAGCTTATTGTCACTCAGTAGTGAAGTCCAGCCACCTTCAGAGCTGTGGCCAGGCAGGGAACTCCACCAAAGGGGTGGGATCAGGAGCCACAGGACTGACTGTTCTGGGGCTGGGACAGGGCCCAAGCCTACCCAGGGCTCTCACAGACACCCATCTGCCTTTCCTGGGCTTTGAGTCAGACCTGCTACAATAGGAGGCCACAGGGGGTCTTTTCTAGCTAATGGCGGGATGAGTTTGATGCATTGTGCCAAAGACCTTTTTTTCCCTGACCTGGATTAGAGCCTGCCCTGGGAACAATGGGATGGGCTGCAGCCCAGCAGAAAGAATTTGCTGAGATGGCAGGGTCTGAGGTTTGCAGAGCAGAGCAGAGCAGAGTGCATACCTGCACTTTTTTGGCATGGGGCTCAGTTTTGGGGGGACATAGCTGTTAACCTGAAGCTTTTGGACACATTGCTTCACTGTCCCAGCCAAGAGTTGCTACTGTAGTCCTAAAATTAGAAATCTATATTAGACATCTAAACATTTGCAAGCGCATCATTTTCTGCCTTCTGTAAAAAAAAGATTTTTATGAGTCTCTGAGAGTTCTGTACAGACCTGTTGGCACAAAAGGTCTAAATCATCTTTTGAAAGGCATTATCTTACTTGACCAAGACTTTGGCATTTAATGGCGAAGTAGCCCACTGAATGTCTCTTGTCTGTCACATTAAAAACAAAGGCTGTCAAAAGACTTTAACCATATCAGTGTTTTCAAACTTGACCAACCAGTTTTGTATTTAGAAGTGTAAAAAGTCACATAGTTACCCAGACCCCTGGTTTAGGTTCACAGGTGCCTTCAGGACTCTGTACCTGAGATTTGCTGAGTGCCTGGGAGCCTGGAAGCTCCAGGAACTGAACACTTGTCAGGATCATACTATGAAGGTTTGTGTTTGGTTTCATGATCTGGGGGCTGTAGCTGTCCTCTCCTTTGTCAGAAGATTTTTTCCCTCTTGCTTGGCTAAATCTAGTTTCAAATCTTTAAGTCACAAAGCTACAAGTATTTATCCTTTCAGTATTCTGAACTAGTCTCAGGGCTGGATGACCCTCTTGGGAATAAATAATCTATCTCTGGGCATCTGCTAAGTCCTGGTAGAGAGCTATTCTTAACCTTGCCCACTATCAATGTCATTTGAAGAGCAGAAATATTTTTGACCAGGGAAAATATAGTTACCTAACTCAGATATGCATTCACAGAGAAATTTGGAACACTTTTGCCTTTATTTTCTGAATAAAGAAGGAAAGTTGGGCTTAGTATTTTAGTGTGTTGATGCTAAGCATAGAATTCACTTTGTGAATTAAATAACTGCAATTCCATGCCAACAGCAAAGGGGAGATCTGCTCAGTGAGCCATAGGAGGAAACAGAAAGAGAAAGACTAGATACAGTTGTTGATCAGCCTTTCCCCTCACTGGCTAAAATACAGATCCACCCCCGATTTCTAAAGAAATGTGGAACACAAGGCTTTCAGTAAATATGATCACAGTGGTGACATTTGGGTATCACTGCCACGTTAGGCTTTAAAATACATCAGTTATGTGCACAGTGTAGATATTACTGTAAGGAGTGAGCTCGCATGTGGAAACAGGGAAATACAGGGACATATGGGGCAAATAAGGCACTGTTACCATGGTAGTACCTTTCCAGTTGAGAATCATAAAAGGAAATCATATTCAAGTGGCCATTTTAGCACTTTGCTTAAAAATATCTTTTGATTATTTCTCTTTCTCTATCTCTCCTTTTCTCTTCAACCTTTTTCTTTCCATGTGCTCCCCGCATCCTGCACCTTCATACAGTCAAATCATCTGACCTGGCCCGGCTGCTGGCTTTACTTAGCCTGCTCAGGGGTCTTATATCAGCAGCAAGCTCAGCAGGTGCTGAAGGCCCTTCCACTTCATCTCTCACCACCTCCTCTTCTGCTTTCTTCACCCCCGGCTCTTCCTGAGGCCCTGGCTGCTCCTCCTCTCGTTCCTCCTCCTCTGCTCGTACCTTCTCCTCTTCTGGTTCCTTTGCTTGCGCGTAGGATGGTAACCTCTCATCGAATGCCCTGGAGAGATCTTCCAGTGGTCCCATTCCAATCTTCTCAAATTCATTGTAGGCTGATGGAAGGGGGCTGGGCTCAACCCCTACTTCCGTGAGAGGGAAATAGTGGGACACTGGCTTCTCTTCTTCCAGCAGCTTGTAGCCTTTGGCCTTTGGGATGGAAGGGACTGTGATGGCATGGAGGGGCTTCTCTGGGACCTCTCCAAGCTGCTCCTCCGCCGGTCTCCTCAGAGCCTTCCGGATTCTTTTCAAGATCAAATGACTGATCTCCACCAGGTTGAGGAAGAGGGACACGGAGGCCACCACCAGCATGAACATAATGAAGATGGTCTTCTCTGTGGGCCTGGAGACAAAACAGTCCACAAGATTGGGACAGGGCCACCGCCCGCAGCGGTAAAGGGGGAGAATTCGGAAGCCATACAGGAAGTACTGACCTACTATGAATCCCACCTCAAAGAGGGTTTTGAAAATGATGTGGAAGATGTACGTTCTCAGGAGAGTACCTTCCAGGCGAAACTTCTTGGTTCCATCAGGGTTGTTGCCTTTGTTTTGGTTTGGAGCCAGGGGCAGCTTCTCTTCATCCACCTCGGCTTGCTGGCGCCTCTCGGCTTCCTCCTTCTCTTTCCTCTTCTCCTCCATGCGGACGTGGTGCACAGCATGCCCGAAGTACATTAGTGAAGGGGTGGATACAAAAATGATCTGCAGGACCCAGAGCCGGATGTGGGAGATGGGGAAGGCCTCATCGTAGCAGACGTTCTCACAACCTGGTTGCTGGGTGTTGCACACAAAGTCTGACTGCTCGTCTCCCCACACGAGCTCGGCAGCCGTGCCCAGGATCAGGATGCGGAAAATGAAGAGCACCGTGAGCCAAACTCTCCCGATGACAGTGGATTGCTCGTTCACCTGCTCTAAAATGTTCCCCAAGAAACTCCAGTCACCCATTTCTTATGGTCTAAGGGAAGAAAAAACAAAGAGAAAGACCACAAATTATGCTAAATTTTAAAGATTTCAGGTTTTCCCGCTGATGTCTTTTGTTGCTTTGAGAACAGAAAGGCAGGCGGTTGCTTGCTTGCTGATTTGCCTGTTCACAATGATTTATTAACAGGAGAAGGGCTGGGAAGCCAGAGCAAGCTGCCTGCTAAATTCTTCCTTCCATGGCTCTAAATGGGCAATTACTTTTCAGCCAGGGAGTATATTTATCTCCTTTTGCAGCTGAGAGTCTTCTGTGGCACCTTGTAGGTTCAGTTCTGTGAGCCTGCTTAGATTTTGTACACGTACAAACATTCACCAGCAATACAGTGGAACAGATTTATCAGCAGGCAGCTGCAGTGGTTAGAAGAGAGAGTGAAGCTTTCGAGCACACAAATACTTCTGCACCAGAACCCCTCATGGGCTGATCAGATCTCGAATCTGCTCCCATCTTGCACCTACACAAACCTGAATTCTCTCTAGGTTGCAAATGTCAATTCTACTTTAGCAATCACTGTTAGGTAAGAACTGCAATTACAACATCATTGCCGTGGTAGTAATGCTGTATAAGCTTAACAACAACTATATAGATTAGTTTTGCTATATAGAATATGTTATATGCAATATAATTATTTGGTGCTATTGCATTCCCTTCTGAAGTTAGCTGCCACACAGACAGTAGAAATAACCTGGGGAAAACAACTGGGAAAACAACTCTAATTGGAACCTAAAATGCTATTTGCTGTCTCTAAAACGTCAGTGCCACTATCTCAGGCTAACACCGAGCTGGAAGCCAGCTGCAGGTACACTATTGGAAAGCAAAGGCAGTCATCCATTTTCAAGTAATGCAATTCAAATATTACATCTCTCATTACTTTTGCATTATAAGAAAATTTTCCTAGGTCAGGGCTTCATTCTGCATATCCTGAACTTCCCACTATATCATTTCAGGCAAGGGAAGATTTAGGAATGAGGAAAATAGAGACTAAAGTTATTTTGTATGGGTTGATTTAACACATCACAGCAGTCTGAAGTCTCTGAGGAATGTGGAATATTACAGTGGCCCAGAAAGACCAACTTGTAGAGCATGACAAGTGAAACAGGGAACATTATTCATAAAATATCTGTTCACAGGGATTTAGAATTTCATCTCTTAGATACTACCTCCATCTATAGTTCCCTAAATGCAGACACATACACAAGCACTCAGAAAAGGAAGGTACAGTCAACAGCATGAAAGTCTGAGTATCTAAACTTCCCTCCTCCTTCAGATACCACTGGGATATATTTGTAATGCCATATGTTGTGACACACCAACGCATACCAGTCTGTTTCAACTACTCTGTGTACGTAGTCACACATAGACAAACACACAAAATATTGAGAATTCTATGGCTCGGGGGAATTTCACAAATTTTCAGTCAAAAAAAAAGCCCCAAAAAAACACCTAAAAAAAACCCCCCACAAACTTATGATGGTATTTTGCTAAAGCAAGATGGACTCATATTCCTTGCATTCAAACCTCACAGTATTTTTACCCCGGACACGCATGTTAGAAAATGAAGAACAGAACACAGTTCCTTCAGCTTGCACAAACACCTCGCATACATAAGTGGCAAACATATAATTTAATCACCAAGGAAAATTGCTACTTTCTCAGTCATTAAAGTCGTGTAAAGAAGTGTGTTAATGTCAGCGCTTACATTAACAAGTCTAGCAGAAGATTATGCTGTTTACATACATTATCTAAACTGATTTAAACATCCTCTTACTGCAAATTCACAGAGCAAAGTACACCCAATACTTACTAATCACGTGCAACTTTGTAAAAATCATGACTGCACACAGTACAAGCTTCACTGTCCCCCAGGCACCGCAGTTACCTCCATCCCTTTCTTTCCCTGTGAGTCACACTGATATCTATGCTACCATTTGAGCATTTCCACTGCAGCACACAAGAGCGACGGTCTAGGTGTGATAAACCTCATCACGCAGAAAACTCACTGTACAAGAGAAGGGAAAATGTTTCCTAACTTTGTCTAACTCCATCACACGACTTGCTCACAGCTTGCTACGTTTGCCTAAGCCCTCCCTGAGATCACTTCCAACTGGCCACGTTCTTCACAACTCTGCCATGCCCATCCCCTCTGTTTTCTGCAAGTGATGTTGTTCGAGGTTGCTCAGTCGGTTCAACTGCAAGCAACAACATTGGGTGGATGGATGAGGAGTAGCACAACCGGTCTGAATGTCTGGGATTCCACCTACAAAGCAGTCGACTCCTCCAGCCTCACCAAAAGGGGTAAGCGAGGTATTTAGGGAGCCACCTTTCCCCTGAAATTGCCTGTCACGAGGAAAGAGCAGGACTGTGCCTAAGCCCACTCAGAGCCAACAGATGGGTGTTCTGAACTGTCCCGGGCTGGCTGCAGACCCCCACCCTGCGCTCCCAGACGTCGCAACCTGCGCACGCTACCGGCGAAAGAGGCCGAACAGATTAAGGATGTTGAGCAAGCAACTTGCCGCTGTGAGAGGCTCCACCGAAGAAATGTGTCCCCCTCCTCTCTTGGCACTCTGCAGGGAAGAGTGAACTTTTGTCTCTCTTCTTCCCTACCCTAAAAGCCCCAATCTTGTCGCACGACTGAGCAGATATGACTGAATTGGCTCTGATGGTGGGTTTTAGTTGCCCTGCAATATTTAAGCTCCGAGCCAGACGGCTTTATGAAGTGAGTGACAGTCAGTGACGTGGGGAACAATAGGGAGAAAAAAATAGAGAGAGGCAGAGACACAGAGAGGAGAGTCCACTGAACATGAAAAAGCAGAGGGGGGAGAGGAACAGGCAGCAGGCAGTGAAAACCTAATACATGCATAAATGGGAGTTTGCTCAGTTAAGCAGGGACCAAAGCATCTCTGCAATTCCACTCTGGTTCAGCACAGTGTGTGTCCACACTCGCTGGTTGTTGGGTGGTGTTGTGTGGCAGGTGAAAGGGAATGCCAACATCTCTGATAGTGGCAGCATTAATTGAATTAATTTTTTACCCTACACCCAGTTCTGACAGACAAGTTGCATTACTGATTTTCAGGAACTGAAGTATTTGGTTTATATTTGGCATTGTCAGATACTTTGGTCTGCACTTTAACATATTTTACCTGGAAAAAGCAGCAGAATGGGAAAACAAGATTATCAGTCAATATTAATCGAAGCTGAGAAACACCAGTTTTACAGCCTCACCTCTCAGTGTCTCAGCTCTGCTTAGTTTTTTCTCCAAATGCATCTTGCATGTGCACATGTATCAAGAATGTCTAAACCAAACAGTTTTGTTAAGGAGCATAGTTGAATTCCAGCAGCCCAGCACACAGGAATGTTACCCCAGGCACATTCGCCTACCACCAGACACCTGCAAAAATGTTGGAGAGGCCAGAGAAGAGAGGAACCACAGGCTCAATAATGCATCCACAAGTACAACTAAAAGCCCTGAGAGTTTTAATTAAAAGTCAAAGGCTATAACCTTACTCTGAGGTACGGGTTTTGTAGTCTTTCTGGAGGCATTGCTCAGAATGTGCTCTTGGTGCTCAGCTCTGAAGAAAAAGAGGATTACTGGAAGCAAGATTTGCTAAGCAGTGATACAGATGCCAGGCTCATAAAGTGATGAAGCAGCAAGTACCTCTCCTCTCTCTTCATGCAAACTCAGCACTGAATTTAATTTCCCAGAATGGCACTGGGAGACACTCTATCTCCAGAAATGTCGTCATTTGAATGAGATATTAAAACACGAGAGCCACAAAATTTTGTACCTTCAGACCAGCAGTTTCAGGCCACTCTCTGTGTTTCTGGGCATTTGTGTCCATGTAAGTTCAGAGCTTCATCTCAGAAGTTGTCTTCCCAAACAGCTTTTAGGATGATTTGCAGAGCCCCAAGGTCCAAAGCACAACTGGAGGCAGAGATGATGATTTTCAAAGTGGATTTCAAAAGAGCTAAGGCATAAGTGAGAGATGGAAAAGAGTCATATTTTGCAAGTCTGGGGACACAAAAGAAAAATCACCTTCAATGCACGTAGCTGGACTGAAAGTCATACTCTGAACACCTTAAGAAATCACTCTCCTAAACAGGGAAGCAGTAGCAGAACATATTTTAGCCCAATGCTACATAAAGCATAGGAACAGTCTTCCTGGAGAGAGGACACCCAGTGGAGAATTCACAAGTTCTAAGAACATGACATGAATAAGAAAAGGCATGATTGGATAAATGAGAGGGGTGAGGAGAGTAAGAAGGAAGAAAGAGCACCTTTGTTGATTTGTTTTGTTATATACTATTGAGATAAACTAGTATCAATGTATGAGGGCGTGATCATCACCGCCACCCTCAACCCCTCTCTGGGAAGCAGTAAGAGAGGGAGGACTGAACAGTGTCACCAGCATCCAGCACTTTCAGAGAGCGTCTGCAGGCTGGTGCATCACAGAGGGCAGGTGGTTTAGATGTTAAACTGCCCATTCCTTTTCAAACCAAAACTGTCTTTTTTGGAAAACTCAGCTCTAGCTGAATGTGCACGTCCCTTCCTAGGCCTTTTCTCTCTAATATAATGAGCCAAACCCCAAATCTGGTATGTAACTGTATGGCTGTAGTCCATCTCTAAATTACATCCAGCTACTGTCAGAGACCTTTCCCATTAACCTTCTATCTGCCTTTTGCTAACACTATCCAAATATCAAACATTGTCTGACAAGTTGCAGAACAGCTTGCAATATGCAATTGTTGCAGAAATTACATTAAAGTCTGTGATTATTTGGTCTATGTTACCTTCATCCAAATGATCAGGGCTGACTTTCTTTGGTGTCACAGAGTGCAGAGCCTTTAGCATGAGGCACATCCAGTTTTGCAGGACATTTCTGGTTTGTGAAGAACCACAGAGTCCCTTCTTCTGGAGGCCTTTTATAAAGGCACCACTGAGCTCTGGGTCAGGTTCTCCAGCTCACTAGGGCCTCCTCCCTCTGAAGAAAAGGGTCTAAATGAAAATGAAGCTGGGCAGTGAGGAATTAGTGTTGTACTGGGGCTATGCAGAGAAGTGGTTGTTTGAGATGGGCATGAAGAGGAAAAGGCAGATCATGAGAAGAGCAGGAAGGAGACTTGATCCTCTTAGGTAGCAGGGTGATGCTGGAAGGCAGGGCTACCTTTATAGCATGAAAGCAGTGGCTGTGAAAGAAAGGAGTACAGACCATAAAAGCAAGGGTCGAGAAGACTGAACCTCACGTGCAGCATGTGACAATCACTGAGTCTACAAAAGAACTGCAGCACTGACAGCGCCAGACTGAGAAGGGCAAACACTTTCAACCTGTATACCTTGGTATTTATGTTCTCATTAGGCAACCTGTAGATGTGCTGAGTACTTTCATCCCCAAAAAACAGTGCTAAAATTGTA